ATTGTTTATGAATACCCCCAAACAGGGGGTGATTACACATGCACACACACACACACACACACACACACACACACACACACACACACACACATACACACAGCTGCCTCTCACTTATGTCCCCCTGTGATCGCCCACTGACAGGCATCTACGGCACTCCTGTTATTTTCTATATTTACCCGCTCAGGCTTCTCCCATCCAGACTGATCATCATCCTTGTGTGACGACGTCCCGCTCTGTCTCACCCCGAGCACCCACTCTGCTGCTGCTGCCTCCGAGAAAAGGTTTTGGATATTGCCGTAGTGACCAGAGGGATGAGTATGACAAAAATAATCATCTTTTTTTAAAAACATGCTGCTAAAGTACAGCAGCTGGTGGTGTTCGGTGTTATACCATTACTGAGTCTGCGTGTGGTGATGGTTCATGTTGTGCTTTGTTGTAGCGACCTGCAGCATATACAACCATTTAGTAACAGCAGGAGGATAAAAAAATGCAAATTGATGAATATCCCCCACACTATGAAAAGTGGGTGATAATGCAGTTGTCTATTATTAGCAGAAAATGTAATGAAATTTGTTTTGTGAGTTTTTTTATAACAATACTTCTTGGCAATAAATCTTATATTGAACATCTTATTGGCATCAACTGTAGGTACCAGCAGCTCAAAACAAGTGTCAATAACAACAACAAAATAAGCTGTCTGGCAGAGAAGATTTGGCTAATTTCTCATGTGTGTAACTCACATACCCAGCTCTACTGCTCATCCCACAAATGCATGTTCCTTACAAATGTGACACCGTTTAAAAGAAATTAACATGTTTTCCACCAGTGTAAGATTTATTGCCAAGAAACCTTGTGACATAGAAATAAAAATAAAGACAAAGGCAAACACAAATTCCCTTACTTTGTGTGCTAAGTTAATGCGTGTTTTTGTTTCTGAAATATCTCATGAACCACTGGACAGGTTAACTCTTCAAAGAGCAACTTTTGAAATCAGCGTTGTTCAACATGACTGCCACCGATTAWCAACCTTAGCCAACAAAAATTAGTGCAACTCAGTCCATTGTACGGCGCTAAAATCTAGCGTGGTAGTAGCTGAGAGTCCTCTCCAACACAAACCTCAAGCATCAGCCGACAAAATCTTTGTTTGGAACTGAGGTCTTCAACCCTGTTCCTCTTGATCCATGTCCTGCATGTTTTAGCTGCTTCCTTGCTTTAACACACCTGATTCAAATAATTAAATTACTTACTCAGAATCTCATCGTTTAGCAGAAGCCTCTCAGTCACTTGTTCATTTCKGTCAGTTGAAATAGGGCAACATCTAAACATGCAGGACAGTGGATCATGAGGAACAGCATTGAAGACTTCTGGTTTAGAACATTGGTATATGATGGAGTGATCCAAGTTCCCTGAAAATATCTAGTTTCTTTAAAAACATGGTGTAAATTTGGAAAAAGTCCAAGTTTTATTGTGTGTGTGTGCACGTGTGTGTGCGTGTGTGTGTGTGTGTGTGTGTGTGTGTGTGTGTGTGTGTTTTAATAATTATTTCGGAGACAGACTTAATCTATAGTTCCATCCTCCTGTTTCAAACTCACTGCTTTGGCTGAGATAAGGTTAATTAATGTGACACAATTTATAAAATCCAATGAATACATGGGCGCTTTTTACTTTTGTATTGTTTATTGATTTATTTTTAATTGTAACATGTCATTGTGCCAAAAAATTATGACCCTCAACTACATGTTTAAAACTAATATTGATAATTTTACCCAATGAACAGGTGCAATATTGATAACCACCAATACTGAATTTAGAGGGGTGTTTCGCTATTTCTGATTTAGTGATAGGTCTACTCATAACCAAACACAGAGCATCATGCAGCCTTCAGAACATAAAATGACACTGTTATGGTGACAAAAACAAAAACAAACAAAAGAAAAACATTTGTCTCCATAAGTCCAAAAGTTGTCACCATAAGTCAGATTGCATAGGCATATGTTCTGTAAATAAATAAAATCATCACTTCCTCGTCATTACTCTTCTTCAGTGATAGAGCTTGGTGATGCTTCAAACTGTTAAACACTGCCACCAACTGTTCGGGAGGATTATTACACCCCTAAAGGCTGTTTCACTATGGAAGTGGTGTGTGCAGCAGGGTGGCCAATGGGGTGGACAAAGATTTGTCTGTGGTGGCCATGGCCACCCCCTGGCTCTGCCCCTGCCCCAAATGGATAAACGTGTGTGTGTGTGTGTGTGTGTGTGTGTGTGTGTGTGTGTGTGTGTGTGTGTGTGTGT